CTGTCTGACCCATTTCACTCAGTACAGTGCCCCCAATGTCCATCCATGCTGTCACAAATGGCAAGATTTTATTCTTTTTAATGGCCAAATAATATTCCAGGTATCCACGGATGGACACTTAGGTTGTTTCCATATCTTGGCTGTGGTGAATAATGCTACAATGAGCATGAGGGTGCATAGGTCTTTTTGAGTTTTTTGTTTCCTTCTATTGGCCTTTTCTAACTTTGTTTTCCAAAGGTATTCTAGAACTGGTTTGGAACCCTTCCTCTAACCCTTCCCCCGCTCACACACATAACCATTATCTTTAGATAGCTGAGCAAGATATTATGGAACTGTCTTTATAGCAGGAAAAAAATGCTGCATGAGGGGTAAATTTAGTGGCTCACCATCTGTTCACTGACCCAAAGTTTGGGAAGTGACCTTTGCTCTGTTAGTCTACATTGGCTGCCTGAGTCCAAACGGACTTACTCATTTATTCAGAATGTAGTATTAAATACCTACTATGTGCCAGAACTTGTTTGTTTGTTTGTTTGCTTGTTTGTTTTTTTGGTACAGGAATGCACAGTTGATTGAGACACGTACATCCTTATAGCCATAGAGTGTACAAGGAACCATTGAGAAAATCAAAACAGGGTTAGGGGCGAGATAATGACAGGGAGTGCAGAGAGGGCAGGTAGGAGAAGTTAGTTCAAAAGGGAGTGGTAAGCTAGGACTTCTCAGAAGAGGTATCTTTTTGACTAAAGTCTGCAGCCTTTCCCAGATGCTGACTCACTTAATTTGAATTCACTTCAATTTCTCCCAGATCGAAAACAAAAGGACCAATTTATGAAAGCTATGGGAATTCAGTTCTCACCACTTCACTAGGGCAGAAAGAGCAGCTGCTATTCTCATGCACCATTAGCCCTCTGGTTAATATGAGGTCATGGGGTAGGAAAAGGCTCTGATGCTCAGTGCCTATAGAGCTATAGGGTATATGAGCTAACAGCAAGGCTTATATCTGCTCTACAGGTGGGACCAATAGAAACAGGAGTTTCTTATAGTAAAACAGGATTTGGGGAGCACTGCTTTTGCATGGATGGAACCATCAGCTTCCTTTATGCCAACTGCATTCCATGACCCTTTTGGCTGTACCCACAGAGGAAAGTATATGAGCCCAGATATCTTCTGAGGATTGGCTAGTTTTGTGTCTGTAACTGGGTGTATGTCAATTTCTCATTTTCCACAACAGCAGGAAAATCATTTTCAAAGTTCTTTTCTAACCTTATATAACATGTTTTAATAGCCAGAAAAAAAGGATGCTGCCAGGAGGGTTCAAATCTATTCTGCTAATATTTTCTGAGAATATTCTGATCACCTGGCATTATGCCACTGGCTGGATGCTTCTGCTGGTTTTGTAAGTTTGAGCAGCTTACTTAAATATTCAGAGTCTTGGTTTCCTCATCACATGTATATGTTATTTGTAACATGAGATTAACTATACATTGACCACTTAAAGTTCTTAAGATTAAACAGGATCATGCTTTTCAACAAACCAAACAAAACTTGCCTCACTGCCTAGAATCTAATAAATGATGAATGAATGTCAGCTGACACAACAGTGATGGTAATATGATATTGATGAATTTATACCCATTAATCTAGTATGTATTTACTGAACAGCAATCATAAGCCAGGTTGGTATTCAGTAAATATTTATAAAAAATATAACCCAGGTTTATATTCTTGGGGTACATTGGTGAAAACAAGTATAAAAAAATGTTGGCTTTGTGGATCTTAAATTACGCCATTCTTGAACACCTAGTTTGGCTTAGAATTCTGAAAGAATAATACTTAGTAAATAATTGTTAGTAAGTCCAGTAGCAACTTAAAAATTAATGAATAGGCTCTTGGCCAATGTGGCTTAGTTGATTGAGTATCATCCCATGCACCCAAAGGTCACTGGTTCTGTTCCCAGTCAGGGTATATATCCAGGTTGCAAGATTCAATCCCTGGACGGGGTGCCTACAGATCAATGTTTCTTTCTTCTCTTTCTCTTCTCTTTCCTCTCCTCTCCTCTCCTCTCCTCTCCTCTCCTCTCCTCTTCTCTTCTTTTCTCTTTTTCTTTCTTTCTTTCTTTCTTTCTTTCTTTCTTTCTTTCTTTCTTTCTTTCTTTCTTTTTATTTTTGCTGAGCAGCATTACCAGAAAGTCTCACACATATGGTGCCCATATCTATGAAATCACCCAGGGGAAATTATAAAGAAACACATCCTGTATGTCACTCCCTGAGATCAACATATTCCCTCAGTAAATCTGGCTCTGAAATGTGCCTTTTGCCCTGTGGCCTGGACTGAGATGCTGTGTGTGGCCATCAGGGCAACACTGCAGTACCTCGCAGAAAGAGGAAGGTTCCGTCCTAGCCACATTGCTTCAAGTTACCAGCAACTTTGCCCAGGCTTCAAAAGGACATTCTGTAGACGCCTATGATGTCAGGTGGTGTTCCCACTTCAGCTGTGGCCCACAGATGCTTTGCCAACACTCTCTGTCCACGTGTGTTGATAAAAGCAAGGAAAATGTGAATAATGGAAAAAGAATAGCAGGCAGTTCTTTTGCTGGCGATGGTGATTTTAAACACAAGTGAAACACACACTTCAGCTTTTCCCTGGCAGAGGGCTTTCGTCCCCTTGAAATGTTTCACGCTTGTGAGAATGACTCACGTCTTGGAAACAGACAGGTTCCAAGTCTGGTGCTCCCAGCACCTTTCGGCATTGGCTAACGCACCCTGTGGGAGATTTAAGCATCCCAACAGCTGCTTGAATTAGCAAGGGATGCTGTGCTCTAGCCTTTCACCGAAAAGATTTCACCATTCTCCAGCAGCCTGAATTTTCCAGTTGTGCTGCAATTACCTTTATTAGGCTCGAGTTGTACATATTATGCTCGCTCTGTCTTTGGGCTGTGCAATGCCCTAGGACCTTGCTGGTATGAGCATGAGCTGGTGGGAGGAAAAGAGACTGCAGGATGCCTACTCTCTCTTTTAAAAGTCCGAGTGGAAGTGACCCATCTCCAGTTTCCAAAGGCTGGAACACCAGGGCAACATCAAGCAGTCTGTGCTTCAGGAGGAAGCATACTGGTGAGCAGCCACACTCAGTGTAATGCAGACCCACCTCAGTGTACGACCACAGGGACTAGAACAGGAATGGTGCCTCTTGGTGCTGAGAGCAACGTGGTGGCCACACAACTAGCAACAACCAAGATAATAATACAAGATAATTGAATGCTATGTAGACATGCAATTTTAAGCCTTAATGTGGAATAGGGAAATATAGATGGCATATCCAACAAGAAATTTTGCAGGGATAATTGCTGAGCCTAAGTTTCCATTGAAAATAAATTAACTTAGCTTTCAAAGACTAGCTGAATTAAAGAAAAAGCTTAAACAGTAATTACATGTAAATATAATGAAAACCCTGAAGTTGGTGTGAATGACTGAAGATGGGGACACTACATTTATATCAATTCCTCATTGCAGTTCATTCCTGGAAGAGTTCCTGAGTTATACCCTTTTATCATAAACTGGTAAGGTGGTGCGTAAATGGGTCCCCTGAGTTCTGTGAGCCGCTCTAACAAATCCATCAAATCCAAGGAAAAGGGGGGTCTTAGGAACTTCTGTTAACTAGTCAGAAGCACAGGTAACAACCTGAGCTTGGGACTGGGATCAGAAGGTTGTGGGATGGAGGGCAGTCTTGTGGGACTGAACACTTAACCTGTGGGATCTGACACTATCGGCAGATAGTGTCAGAATTAAGTAAATTGTAGGACACCCAGCAAGTGACCAGAGTATTGTTTATTGGATATGTGGCCAACCTCCTCCCCCACACACGTTGAAATTGGGTCCAGAAACCCAACAAGAGAAAATAAATAAAAAGGTCTTACCAGGCACCTCTTCTATGTTCGGGCTTGAAGATGCTTTGGAAAACACAGAAAAGTGGTCCTCCTATATTCTAGTCGTTCGAGCCTGAACCAGGAGATACACAAACTGTAGGGAGGAGTACAAAATTAACTGTTAAGAGCTGAAATGTGTTTCAGGTCTAATGTGTTACAGCTTTTAAGAGGATGTGAAAGTTACCTGTTGAAATTAAGCATGATGCTATTTCTTTAATTGATGCTTTATTTCTACAAACATTTATTATATGCTTACTGTGGTCCAGTAAGGTTCCTGATCCCAGTCTGGTGTTAGTGTGATGGGTGGAGGAGACAGCCATCTGAAAATAAGAATGCAATGCAGACTTACAGGGGCTTTGATAGATGTCTGTGCAGGACACTTAGGCATGACACACTTTTAATGTCATTAGAGATGTTGGAAATAATTGAGTCTGAGCTCCCTCATTTAACAGATGAAAAAAACTGAGGCCCAGAGAGGTAAAGTGACTCTCGAAAGGCCACGCAGTTAGTTGATGAAAGAACCAGTACTAGAATCCAGGTAGGATACTTGATCTCCAACCTCAGCTGGGTGCATGGGAAGGGTGAGAGCTGAGGGATTTGCACTAGAGATAGGATAAAATGACATGAGCAATTCAGTAAAATCTCTTCTGGATTTGTTGCTGGTCAGTATTGGGGATGAGGAGAAAACATGGTGTAGGAAGAAAGATGACTGGCTCACTAGGAAATTTAGGTTTCACACCTAGCTATGACCACATACATAGAGTGTTACCTTAGATAAATGATCTAACACACTAGAAATAACGGGTTCCTGTATTTGTTTAACACATTGTGGTTTTCAATAATGTGATGGGCCATCATGTCATCTGATTCTTGAAACAGCCCTCTGAGGTGTCATTCATAGGAGGACTTCCTTATATTCCCATTCTGCAGATGAGCAAACTGAGATGTAGAAAGTCACACAGCTAGTTAGTGAGAAACTTGAGGTTAGAACTCCTGAATTCTCCTCGTCTAATGACAACTATGTGTACAACAAGTGTGGAACAAGAGTCATTAACCAAGAGTATCTTTGATTATATTACAGATGCATTGTGAGAGGTTTCTATGTATCCTGAGAATAATTGGAACCACACTTTTTGGAGTCTCTCTCCTCCTTGGAATCACAGCTGCTTATATTGTTGGCTACCAGTTTATCCAAACAGATAATTACTACTTCTCTTTTGGACTGTATGGTGCCTTTTTAGCATCACACCTCATCATCCAAAGCCTGTTTGCCTTTTTGGAGCACCGAAAAATGAAAAAATCCTTAGAAACCCCCATTAAATTGAACAAAACTGTTGCTCTTTGCATCGCTGCGTATCAAGAAGATCCAGACTACTTACGGAAATGTTTGCAATCTGTGAAAAGGCTCACCTACCCTGGGATTAAAGTGGTCATGGTCATAGACGGGAACTCGGAAGATGACCTCTACATGATGGACATCTTCAGTGAAGTCATGGGCAGGGACAGATCAGCCACTTATATTTGGAAGAACAACTTTCATGAGAAGGGTCCCGGTGAGACGGAGGAGTCCCATAAAGAAAGCTCCCAACATGTCACCCAGTTGGTTTTGTCCAACAAAAGTATTTGCATCATGCAGAAATGGGGTGGAAAAAGAGAAGTCATGTACACGGCCTTCAGAGCCCTGGGACGAAGCGTGGATTATGTGCAGGTAGGTTTCCGAATTCCTGCCAGGGCAAACATACATCCAAATAAAGCAGCTTTTGTATCTCTCCAGTCATATGCTTATAGCCCATCCTTGTCACTTCTGAACACAGTGCCCCTTTCAGTGCATTTGAAAACAGCAAGACTGTTGAAAGCACATTTTGAAAGAGGCGGGGAAAAGCCTTGTAAAACTGTTAAGACTATCTATGAAAATGCTTAACTTGTGCAATGCTGTTGGTTGGAAATCAAGGTTATTTTGAACAGGAGACACTTCCTACTTTCTCTCCCCTTCCCTTCTCTGCCCCCCTTGGTTCTGCCAAGTCAAATCCAACGTCATTTTCCACACTCTTAAAATTCCCAGCCTTGTAAGAAAATAGTGTCTGCCGAGCAGAGAGGGTCTTGAGGGGAAAAAAAATCTGCAGACCCAAAGGAAGGCTATAAAACGGTGTTCACAGAGACCTGGCAAAATGAGGGTGATGAGAACGATTTTGATTGAAAAGGGTAACGAATTCAAAACAGACGAAGAAAAGAAATATGAAACAGGGAGAAAAAGGAAAAACCTTCCCAGAGCAAAACCGAAGTAATGTTTATTTCACTCCCCAAACAGCATTACCTCACTCACTGCAACTTGACCTTTGAAAGCATTTGTGATGGTGTTTGCTCACATTTGAAAATTAGACGGGGCTGTGTCTCGTTAATTTCCTGACTGCTCACTTGTAGGGTTTCTCCTCTCCTAGTCCTTACTGAAGCTTTTTTCTTTAGGATGCTCATAGATTCTGGCCATGATGATATGAGAAGGAAGACATGTCTCAGGTTTAAGAAATCTTCCTTTTCTCTTAAGAGTACATACAATCCTAGGTTTAGAAGACCCCATATACTGTGTGGCCTTTATTGCCCAAAGTCATGCCTAGTGGGTCTCTCTGTAAAATGGCATGGGAAAGGACACTGGCTTTAAATTAGTGTGTGTGTGTGTGTGTTTTAATTTTTTTTTATTTTTACTGAGTGGTCTGTTCCTTGCTCCTTTTCCTGTGCTGCCTGAGCACTTTGAGTACATTTCTCTGCTGGCAGCCTCTTGTTTTTGTTGTTTTCCCTCCTCAAATTTAAAATTGATTTTGAGAGAAAGATTTGTTGTTCCACTTATTTATGCACTCATTGGTTGGTTCTTGTGTGTGCCCTGATAGAATCCACAACCTTGGCATATAGCAATGGTTCTCAACCTTCCTAATGCCGCAACCCTTTGATACAGTTCCTCATGTTGTGGTGACCCCCAATTTCATTGTTACAAATTGAACATAATTAAAGCATAGTGATTAATCACAAAAACAATATATAATTATATATGTGTTTTCCGATGGTCTTAGGCGACCCCTGTGAAAGGGTTGTTTGACCCCCAAAGGGGTCGCGACCCACAGGTTGAGAACCGCTGGCATATAGGAACAATGCTTTAACCAACTGAGCTACCCTGCCAGGGCTTAGGGCGTTAGTGATGGTGTTAATATTATTACAAGTTTCCTATTTTTATTATACCAGAGGCCCAGTGCACGAATTCATGCATGGATGGGTCTCTCAGCCTGGCCGGTGATTGGGGCCAGTTGGCCAGCGGGAGGGACTGTGGGAGGTTGGCCGGCCCTAGGAGATTGACTGTGGGAGCGCACTGACCACCAGGGGGCAGCTCCTGTGTTGAGCGTCTGCCCCCTGGTGGTCAGTGAGCGTCATAGCAACCTGTCGACAGGCCATTCAGTCACTTAGGCTTTTATATATATGTAATCATGTAATTCTTAAAAATTATAATACATGTCAGTTGCTACAACTGTTAATTTGGGTTAATATCTGAAGAGTTTGGGGGCATTTCTTTAGTTGATACCAATCTGCATATTGATTTCTCATTTAGGGAGTTGATAGAGTTTCATCTCCAAGTTTCTCCTAATTTCTAGAACTTTCACAATTAAGGTAGTTTCAGCTAACTCAGGACATTTTATACCTACTTATATTCTGCAACTTCAGGCCTAGATGAGGGATGAAGTGACCCATTTAAAGGAAGGGCTGACTGGGGAACTTGCGTAGGATTGAAAAATGATGCCCTGGGCATAAAATAAGAAAACATCTGTTGATATTTTGCTTTTAATTGTAGTTAAAACAATCACTTGTCATTTCTAATCAAGACATGATTGTGTGGGTTTTCCTCCTTCTTATAAACCTGCTCCTCCCAAACCCCCTTTCCCATCATTTTTGTTTTGAATTTTGTTTGTATCCTTGACAACCTGACATTGTGCCTGTCCAGGAAAAAAATAATACACAATATGAAATGTTGGAGTAGGCTTGCTGCAAGAGCCCTAATCAGCCCGGAGACCTTTCCTTCCTTCAGGCTGAAGCCTCTGGAGAGATTGACCCAGCAACAGCTGGTAATTGGGAGCTGAATCCTCCTGGGATTCTTGGTCCATTTCAAGTGCTCAAGGAAGTGTAAAACACACACACACACACACACACACACACACCACTTTGTGGCATTCTGATACCAGGTAGTGCCATCCTGCCGTCCCTCATCAATCAAATTCCCCAATATTCAGTAGCCAGGTATGCCCTATAACATTCTGACTGACCCTGGGTCTGAGAGTTGCAGAGGAGAAGCCACAGAAAGACGAAGGAGAAAGGGGGTGCTGGATTTTGGCTACGAAACATTACAAGTGCCTAACCCCCGAACGTGGAGTTCAGGTTTATTAGGGAAGGTAGGAAGCAAGCAAGGCTCAGGTGCTTATACATAAGAGAAAATGATGCTATGGTGAAACTGACCATCTGTTCACTATCTTGCTAACCTGGCTGGAGAACACTGCTTCACTGTGCAGAGACGCGACCAACATGGTTAATTTCCAGTTGCAGCTGGGTCTTTGGCACTGGTCAGCACTCTTCACTTGATCTTGAATAGATAGATGTCTTTCTTATTGCTCTCATGACCTATTATTGCATACCTTCATCATTCTCCCAGCTCCCTACCCAAACTCCTCCCTGCTTAACTACTAACAGATGACCTTGCCTCCTACGAAAGAGAAAAGCAAAAGTACTGGTTCTGAAGGCCATCAAGATCTTTCTTATTCTCTCCCATTTACAGGTTCAAGGGTATCTAACCTCACCATCTATCTCAGGTTAACATTTCTACTTCTACTCCTGGGCTCTCCGGGTCAACTCCCTCTGGTCTCCTCCAGAAAAGGATTTATTTATATCAATTACCACCTCTCCATTTCTCTCAGTGTTTATCTCTACTCCTCTTTCTGACTGCTGTCTCAGCCTTAAAGCCACTCAAATAATTAACACCAACATGGAATATGGAGGAAAGGTTTAGTCTAGGACAGTGATGGTGAACCTTTTGAGCTCGGCTGTTGTGTGTTTCCTTCCCACGTCCTGCGTGGATCAGGGTTCAGGAACTGGAAGCGGAGCCGCACACAAATGAATATGAAAAGACAAGAGATAATTTGAAATATTGGGGGACCAGGAAGGCAAGTCCAACTCAAGGGGAAGGACTTCCACCCGTGCTCAGGCCTCAAGGGGTTCTCTGACTATGCTTATCAGATAGTGAAGGCAATAAACAGTTTCCCACACTGGGCAGTCAGCATTTTGAAAAACCCTAACTTAATTCTGGTGCTGTGTCACATATAGAAATTTTTTAATATTTGCAACCATAGTAAAACAATGACTTATATTTTTGATATTTATTTTATATATTTAAATGCCATTTAACAAAGAAAAATCAACCTAAAAAATGAGTTTGCATGTCACCTCTGACATGCGTGTCAGACAAATAATAAAGTGAGTCTAGGAGAAAGCCAGTGTGGTAGCAAATTCATCTAAGATGCTAGTGGCTGCTTTCAGAGATGGAGAAAAACTGAAGACAAATAATAAAGTGAGAAGAGAAGATTTTTCGGTATTTGCTAACTCAGTGTTCACAGAAGGTTTTCATTTTTGGATTTAGGTATTTTCTGGGGAAACTTTTCCAAAGTAGGACAGATACTAACCTATTTGGACATGGTTTAAGATACAGCAAAAGTCTTTGATCTTTTCAAAATAGTATTTATATTAGCTTTTTATTTACCAACGTAACACTTATTTAAAAACTATAGAAAAGCACAATGAGCAAAATTAAAATCATCGGTAACAAATACATGACCCATAGATTATAAATTTTAGTACTTTCTGGTGTATACTTTTCTATTTTTCCCTTATTTTAAAAAATAATTTTGGGATTATATTATATTTACTTTTTGTTCTTTTTAATACTCAATATCAGAAGACTTTAAGTATCCTTTGATAGTTAGATTATATAATTGCTTTATTCATTCCTATCTCTTATCTCCAAACATTGATAAGTGCCAACATAAGTGGCCACCAGTCTGTATGACAAAGGAAAAAACAATATTCCCCAATGTGTGCATTAGGGATTTAGCAGGTAGAGAATGTACAAAAGCATGGACATTCTCTAAAGGGAAGAATATAAGAGGCAATTTTATTTGGACTGTTGGCCTTTATTTAATTTGGCAGAATCCTAGGTATCCAAGATCCTTTGAGTAGGAGAAAGACTAAATCATTCATAAGAGTTGACCCTTATTATTCATGGGTTCTTCATTTGTAAATTATGCCACTCAATAAACATATTTGTAACCTCACATCAATGTTTGCAAGTACTTTTGTGATCATTTGCAGACATGTGGAGTGGCAAAAATTTCACTCTAGCAAGACCATGCTTTGCCTTCTTGTTCTAGCTTTTCTACTGTAAACAAGTAACTTCCTTACGGGCTAGGTAATATTTTAGTTTTCACATTCTTGTGCTTTTTTCCCTTTGGTGATGTAGCTCTTTTAAATGGCCCCAAGTGTAGTCCTGAAGGGCTCTCTAGAGCAAGAGGCTGCAATTGCTTTATGGAGAAAATATGTTTGCTAGGAGAGCTTTGTTTAGACTTAATAGGGCTGTTGGCCTTCTAGTCAATGTTAATGACTCATATAGTGTATTTAAACATAAATAAAACAAAGTTAGGTAATGATCAGTAGACAAAAACGTTGTGACCAGAGGCTTGGAGGAAGCTAACCCTATATTCTTTCTAGAAGCAATTTTTCGGTATTTGCTAATTCAGTGTTCACAGAAACTGTGGAACAGTCACTACCATGAGTAATGCGCATCCACTGTATGCAGTATGATTGGTTCCTATTCTGACTAGGAAGTCTAAGCAACCAAAATATTCTGAGGGCTGATTTTGAGAGAGTTATATGTCTCCTTGTATCCTTCATTTTAGAGGATAAGATTAATAGCACACTGAACTAGAAATGGGGAAATGTGAATTCTAACTCAACTCTTGCTGCTTACTTGCTATGGGCCTCAGTTTTTAAGAGTGAAACTTCCCTGACAGGTGTGGCTCAGTTGATTGGGCTTCATTCCGTGCACCAAAAGGTTGCTGGTTTGATTTATGATCAGGGCATGGTCAGGGCACATGCCCCAGTTGCAGGCTCCATCCCTGGTAGAGGGGGCGTGCAGGAAGCAGCTGATCAATGTTTTGCTCTCACTTCGGTGTTTTTCTCTCTCCCTCTTCCTTCCTCCCTCTCTCTAAAAATCAATTAAAAAAATATATTTTTAAAAATGAAACATAGAGGCTAGGCATTTTAGACTTGGGTCTTAGAATTTAAAAAGCATTTGGTAGACTAAGTGATATTTCTAGAGGAAATTTTTATTTAAATTACAGTGAGGTAGATTAACTTCCGGATCACTGAGACAATGGACTTACAGTCTAATAATTTATAGATGATTATTATGGATAGTGCTAGACACAAAAGATTCTCCATATGTAATTAATTCCCATGATCCTATTAGAGATTTTCTCTATTGGTCCATCTATTTGTGGTAAGGAGCATTATTCTTTAGGTATGCATTTACTTAGGAAGTATAAACATGTAAGAATTATTACTTAATGCTAATGGCATACTTCTCTACAGTCCTTTGTAATTTACAAAGTACTTTTATAGGCTGTCTCACCTGGTATCTCAATGATGGTAAATGTCTTGTTCACAGTGATAGAGGTAGTCAGACACAGACTTAAGTTGAGGCTTCTTGATTCTGAGGGCATTTGTTCTTAAAATAAGCAAATCTTGGCGAATGAAAAAAATCTAATTGTTTTACATTTTTTATACAGTTAATGTTATTTATAATATGGAGATGGAGCCAACCTTTAAAAAATCTACTAGAATTAAAATTAGGACTTAGAACATATTTAATCTCAACTTTTCATTATTATTTTTTTATTTTGGGAAAGAGAACCCTTCTGCTGCAACCAATTATTTCCGTCCCAAGGCAAAGTTGGCTTGTAAAGGCCTGATAGTAAATATTAAGCTTTGCAGGCATGTGGTCTTTGTTGCAACTATTGAGCTCTGCTCTTTTAGTGTGAGAGCAGCCATAGATAATATAAAAGTGAATGAGTGTGCCTGGGTTCCAATACAACTTTATGTACGGACGTAGAAATTTGAGTTTCCCTGTGTTACAAGATATTCCTTTTTAAAAAAATTTTCAACTGTTCTAGATAAGAAAGAGGAAGGTTTACTGCTTGGCTAGGATAGTGAAGGAAGAAGACAGATGGTCTCAAGCACTTTAGTTGATATTTTGTGGTTAAAAATGAGGTGGCTAGAGTCTCCCAATAATGTCTTTTTGTCTTGACATTTCCCACTCATTTTAGTCAAAATTCATGTGGTGGAAACAAGCCTCAGTGACACATTCAGTGTGGACAGAGAGATGTTGTGATTTGTGCCCTCACAGTTTCCGGGGTACATATCATGTCCAGTAGTGTTTCTCCAGGTGAGGTTAAACTCTGTGAACTGGCGGATGTCCTCCCCCACAGCTTCTGGCCTAGAGCCAAACAAGCAACCAACATTCATGATATTACATACTTTTTATTAATTAGTGAGGGGACAATTGGAAATCCTGTTCCTGCTATTACTAATCATACTCTTTACACACTAAAAACAACAACGGTAGGTCCATGAACATACATGCTTTTACAGACTTCATGGCTGGTGGCTTTCTATTGGCATTCAATCACCAAATAACATCCAGAAATTGAACTTCTTAAGGCTCTTTAACCTACTATAACCAACTCCTTTCCAAGGGATTGCTGGGAGCTTTCCTTTCCAACGCAGTTAAACTCACCAAGCAAACAGTCTCTCTCTGAGAGCTCCTGGCACTTGGAAACTGGGAGGGGCAGGGCCAATTGAAACACGCAGAACCTCAGAAGTTAGGTTCAAGTTTAGTCATTTCAAAGAGGCAGTTGCCTTGGTCTGCTTATGCTCACAAGCAGGCGGAGTTACTTGAACATTAATTCTAGATTGCCCCCTTCCTGTTGTTTTTAGTCTTATTTTAGCTTTCTGGTTTTACCTTTCCCAGCTTGAGTCAACAGAGGTGGGTGTGGCCCTAAACTCTCAGGATGCTGGATTCTAAAGGCCTACTGGACTCCTGCCTTCGCTTTCTCTACCCTCCCTACAGGCCTGCCCACCTCCTAGCCAATACAAACCAATGATAGACAAGGCATGGCAAAGGCAAGCACTGCCTCGGAGGAGTTTGTTTAGGTTTCTGAGGGTTGGGTTGAATGGGTGCAAATCCAAGTATTAGTAAAATCCTATTTTTTTGCAATGAAAAATTAATGCTTAACTGTTTCCTAAATTTCCCCCCTAAAATAAGTGAGACCTTCCTGGACCAAAGTAGAATGTAATAATGAATGGATTTTTTTATTATTATTATTAGAAAATGGGTTCTTCTAAATGTTAAGTAAAATTTTAAAAATTCAGAAGTTAACCCTGAAATTGCTATACTTAGCTCTTAGATCACCAGTGAGATGTTGAGTTCACTTTTTAGAACTGGATAACCTCATTTGCTCCCTTTAACCATAACTTCCAATAATGCATTTAAATTGGTGTATTCACCAACTTTCTTCCTTAATACTTATTATATTTTCAGAAAAAAATAGCTATTAGTAAAGTTGACACATTTTTTTAAATGCTGAGATTTCTACATTTTGTTGTTTGAAAAGCCAAGTCCCTACTATTTTTATGAAGTAGTTTGGAGAACTGTAAAGATATGTACTGGTGATATGAATAAATTAATCTTGATTAAATCCATTCAGTATAGTCAGACTTAATGGCAAAATAATGGGAATTACAGATAATACCCCCATTTCTGTCAATCATGTCATTTATTGTTTGATTGGGGGTATGAAACTGGTTCATTTCATTGTCTGTCCATTCTGATCACTCGTTATCTACTAAGATCTTACTGCATTTCCCAGAAAAGAATGCAGCATTTATTAGCATCATTCAGGAGTAGAGAGGCGGCAGCACTTTTCCTACTTCTGATTTTCTTTGATCTTGTGGAAGAAGCACCATCCCACACATATGATTCATCTGTGAGAAAAGGTAGTAGCCTTTCCCAGCTGTCTCCCTCCTTCCTCTCTAAGAGAGAAGTGACTTAATCTGACTGAGTATGGAAGGAGGAAGGGTTAGCCTAACTTCTCCTTCTTCCTTTTACCTAGAAGTGGGCTGTTGCCAAAGAGCAGGCATCTGTCATACCTTTAAAAGGAGCACGCACTGTATCTGCAGGAGGAGGCTGCCCCCTTCAATGCTATTGATTATGTAGGTAATACTGTTTTATACTGGGGAACAACGTTATGAAGCCTGCTCTTCTACAGATATAAGGTCTATTCTCGGTCGGCTTTATGGGCATACAGTTGATATTTTGGTTTCTCATCTGCCTTATTTTTTTTTTCCAATTGGTTCAGAAATCAGAGTGCAAAAAAAGTACTGTTTATGACTCTGTCCACTTTGGCCTCCTGTGGAAATTTCTGTCAGGGGTCTCTAACGGGCATAGATTAATCCAAATAATCTTCTTGAAGTGAAGTCATAGTGGTTTGGTTTCAGAATTCCTTTTTTTTTTTTAATCCATATAACACTGTAAGAACATTTCAAGAATGGTTTAAGATAATTCACATCTGCTTTTATACATAAAGGGCTAGATGAATACTTGAGTACTTTAGAATCTAAAAGGTAGTCTGAATATCTTGCTAGTTCCCTTTCTGATGCAGTGTCATCTGCGAAGCCCAAGTCATGGGCATCTTGCCTCAGAAATACACACCCGGCTGCAGGAGAATTTTCTGTCTTTTATTCATCATATTAATGGGGCAATAACTGTTAAGTGTGCCTCCCTTTTAATATTGTCATGGGAGTATTCCTATCATCATTCAAACCTGAGGGACAAGTTGCCTAAAAGCCTTATTTAAGACATTAGAAAAAGAAAAAGGACATCTAAAGTCCTTGGGACAAGGACCAAAGTTGGGACTATCCATGGCAAATTGGGACAAGCTAGTTACCCTATACGATAACCCATCACATCGCTTCAGCTGTTCTAACCAGCTATGTTAATAACTTAAATACTGAACTTGATGGAAAACAAGCTCTCTGTATTGGCCATGCTATAACAAACTCATCCCTGTGACATTTGTGACCAGAAGGCTGAAGACATAGTATATATACAAAATGTTGGCTGTGTGAATCACTCTTATAAATCTTTATTTTCTTTAACTCATTTTCCTTCTTTGCAGGTTTGTGATTCAGACACCATGCTAGACCCAGCCTCATCTGTGGAGATGGTAAAAGTTTTAGAAGAAGACCCCATGGTTGGAGGTGTTGGGGGAGATGTCCAGGTGTGTAGTATGGCTTCGCTTTTGCCTGAGTCACTTTGGTAGCACTCTGATTCATTGATTCATTGAATATGCATTTACTACACCAAACTCTGTGCCAGGTATTACACATTGGAAGTGTCTTGAACCCAGTTTACTGCCTCTTTGTCTAATTGAAAAAATGTAGGATTTCTTTGATTAGTCCTGGCATATAATCCATGTCTTTAGTGGCTGATAAATTATGGTCTTGAGCCATAACTTAATATTTTGGTAAAATCTGTTGTTAGAGTTCACGTAGTTGACAATAAACTAAAATGTGGCAGGAGGTGGGTTCCCAATTATATACCTATGTCTTTAAAAGCTGACCAACTTGTGATTGATCAAAAAATCTAAATTGGAAAACAAACAAAGAAAAGAGAAGCAGCAACTCAAATTTATACTAGTGAGAAAGATAAAGGAGCAATTGATTAATAAGTGGGGTTTCCAATTATTTATTTTTTACTAATTATTTATCTTACATTATTTGCTATCAATGGAGAAATAATTAGTGAAACAGATATTGGAATGGGAAAATGAATATGCAAAAGTATGTAAAGGTTAAAATGAGTTCTTTGCAAATGTGAGAGTAGATTTTAGCAAAATGTGAAAAGCACACTGAAATTTTATTTTAAAGTTTAGGTATTATGTTGCTGTATAATCCATGTCATATTTTCATGGTGATAGTGAAGGCAAAGAAAATGCACTACAATGGACAAAAAGTAGCCTGGTGGTAAAAAGGAAGCATGTGAAATCGAGATGAACACAGAACAAAATTGAGACAGGGGAGAATTTAGAAATATTGCCAAGACAAGCTGATAATTTTGAATAGCCTTTACATGGAGCATTATTTCAGGATTCAAGTTTTGGAGGGAGGCCAAAGCAAACCCTTTTATCACTGGCATTGCAAAATATCAAGGAAGAGAAGGAAAATTTATAGCCAAGGATTAGATGAGTTGGAAATTAACCAGAACAGGAGGCAATAGAACTTGAAAACCATCACATCCTAGATGGCAGGAAAGTGTCTGGAAGAAGAATTTAGGGACTGAGAACTAAAGCCTAAAAAAAAAAATAAAAGAAAAAAGAAAAATCTCACTATTTTAATAGAACAAGAACCAAAAGCATAGCAAAAAGAGAACAGAGAGCGAAGTAGAAAATATTTATCATCAGAAAGTCCCAATGCATGCACACAACTTAACAAATTAATCTAGTAACAGAGAATCAGAGTCATTAAAATATGTCAAAAAGAGGAAGGAACCCGGCCAGTGTGGCTCAATGCTTGAATGTTGACCCATTAACCAGGAGGTTAGTTCGATTCCTGGTCAGACCACATGCCTGGTTTGCAGGCTTTCTCCCCAGGAGGCAGCTGATCAACGCTTCTCTCCAATCACTGATGCTTTTATCTCTCTCTCTCTTGCCCTTCCTCTTTCTGAAATAAATTTAAAAAATCATATATTTTTTTAAAAAATAGAGGGGAGAAGCCAAAATAACAAACCTTACTCTATTAAGTAACCTCAGGATGGTATGGCTTTTTTGTTTTGTGTTAATCCTCACTGGAGGATATTTTTCCATTGCTTTTTAGAGAGAGTGGAAGGAAAGGAGGGAAACAGAAAAGTGGGGGGAGAGACACATGGATGTGAGAGAGACACATTGGTTTGTTGCCTCCCCCAACCAGGCTGGGAGATCAAACCTGTAACCCAGGTACATGCCCTTGACCCTCAACCCTTTAGTGTGCAGGTCAACACTCAAACTATTGACCAGGGCAGGATGGTACAGATTTTGTTGTTTGTTTGTTTTTTTAATTTTAAGAGCAATTATATAGGGTGTCCCAAAATTCACGCAAGAACACGAATTTTGGGACACCCTATATATATATATATTTATTTATTTAAATTCTTTATTGTTGAAACTATGTTGGTATTTTTAACTAAGGCTTACCTTCTACTATTTTCTTCTTTTTTCAGATTTTAAACAAGTATGATTCCTGGATCTCCTTCCTCAGCAGTGTGAGATACTGGATGGCTTTTAACATAGAAAGGGCCTGCCAATCTTATTTTGGGTGTGTCCAGTGCATTAGCGGACCTCTGGGGATGTACAGAAACTCGTTGCTGCATGAATTTGTAGAAGACTGGTACAATCAGGAATTTATGGGCAGCCAATGCAGTTTTGGTGATGACCGGCATCTAACGAACAGAGTGCTGAGTCTGGGCTATGCAACAAAATACACAGCTCGATCCAAGTGCCTTACGGAAACACCTGTCGAGTATCTCCGATGGTTAAACCAGCAGACCCGTTGGAGCAAGTCATACTTCCGAGAGTGGCTGTACAATGCCATGTGGTTTCATAAACATCACTTGTGGATGACCTACGAAGCGGTTATCACTGGATTCTTCCCTTTCTTTCTCATTGCCACGGTAATCCAGCTCTTCTACCGGGGTAAAATTTGGAACATCCTCCTCTTCTTGTTAACTGTTCAGTTAGTAGGTCTCATCAAATCATCCTTTGCCAGCTGCCTTAGAGGAAATATCGTCATGGTCTTCATGTCCCTCTACTCAGTGTTGTACATGTCAAGTTTACTTCCCGCCAAGATGTTTGCAATTGCAACGATAAACAAAGCTGGGTGGGGCACATCTGGAAGGAAAACCATTGTTGTTAATTTCATAGGACTCATTCCAGTCTCAGTTTGGTTTACAATCCTCCTGGGTGGTGTGATTTTCACCATTTATAAGGAATCTAAAAAGCCATTCTCGGACTCCAAACAGACAGTTCTAATTGTTGGAACGTTGCTCTATGTATGCTATTGGGTTATGCTTTTGACTCTGTATGTGGTTCTTATCAATAAGTGTGGCAGGCGGAAGAAGGGACAACAGTATGACATGGTGCTTGATGTATGATCTTACATTGATTGACATTTGCAATCACACCTGGGGACACAAACAAAACCTTAGTTCCTGTAAAGACCGTACAGTATTGTGGCATCAGAGAATGCCACCACAGGAGACATATCACTGCTGCTGGGACTTGAAACAGAGCCATTTCTATGGGTTTATTTTGATTCTGCCAAAGTAAAATGATACATCAACAAGAAGAAACTCAGATGTAACCTGTTATTTCTATGAAAATGGGAAGAATTCTTTGTTTATGCACTTTTCCCTTACTGTACATCTGCCTAACAGTGTTTTGCCCTATATACCTCACTAGCCATGCTTTATGTGGGTTATCATGGAAGAAAGGATTTTGGAAACTCAAGGAAACGTTCTTACAACGTGTACAACCTAACTTATGGACTGTGTCGATAGCTAATTGTTTTTTAGAAAGGGTTTTCTGTTTAACTCTACCAAATGAAATGCCAAAGGAAATTTTAAGGCCGTTGGCTATGCTGTATTTTTATATAATTGTACTGTGTTTTAAAATTTTGTATGCCCATTTTTAAAACAAATCTTGCATATTCTATATTTTACTTCTCTGCCAAAATACACCTGTTCTTCCTTTATAAAAAAATAAAATAAAATAGGTTCTAAAAAAAAGTTCAAACTTATAAAACCTACCCAAAATGTGAAGCTTGGTTGACGGATGTTGTTCATGATAGAAAGAATAAAATGTTTCTCTCTCTACCTTTTCAAATTGAATAGTTTATTTCTGTGAAAAAGTATTTAAACTTCCACTATTTTAACTTTTTAAAACTTCTTTTGGAAAAGGCCAATAATACCTGTCACACCTTGGGAGTAAAAATACATACTTATGTGTGAAAGAAAAAGTAAATAAATAAAAATCAAGGCCAAAAGGGTAGAAAAGTGCAATTTTTTTCATAAGATTAAAAAAAAAGGGAATGCTCAAAAGAAAACACTGGGCAGCCAGCACTGGACATAACATGCATATCACAGATGAATAATCAAAAGATTCTGGCAATGGTTTCCCAGGCTGAGTAATAGGGAAAGTGGAAAAATTTATCTGTATAACTTGGACAAATACAATGTAGTTAATTTTGTTCTGTGGCTTGAATTCACCAGATCCTGTCTATATATTGAATATATTTTACCTGTCTTTTCCAGCTTGCCAGTTCACTTGTGTGTTAGCCAGAGGTTTCCAGGATTTAGTTGGGTAAATTAAAATAAATGTAAAGTGTACAGATTCAAAATGGCAGGTTTAAGCTCCAATTATCAGCCTCTTTTACTTTCTAATGAGGCTTTTATTCTGAATTATCCTACAGATAATTTCATCTTTTCTGTTGACCAACATAAATATGTTTACATAGTGGAAATGCTATCAAGGTTTAATAACTATCAAAAATTGGCACATGAAAAATTAATAAACCAGATGCCTGTAGTCTAGCCAAGTTTGCTTCTCCCGAGCCTCAGTTATCCAGTCTGACTTTTGACACGACCCATCTTGCTTTGTAGCTGGTGCTGTGTAGACCTGTGTTAGAGACACAATGGAACCCATGAATAGTTGCATAGAAAGTATGGTGAAGCAGAGTCATGTGGAGAAGTGTTGGGCCATGTGCTTCCTGCCTTTCTGCTTTTTTCAAGCAGACACCCATGAAAAAGAAGCACATTCTACCTTTGGAGTACAACAAGGTATAACATTCTTCCACTCCATCTCTCCCTGATTGGAGAGCTTGTGGGAAACAAACGCCGTGCCAATAAATGAGACTAAAACTTGAGTTTGCCTTTTTAACTATTTATGTTCTAAGTTAAGCTTTGATAACATTCAAATGTCAAATTCTCTCATTCTTATAGAAGATTGAATTAATTGCCTGTATTTATTTTAGCAATTATTCAATGTATTTCCAGTATAGGATGTATAGTATAATTCTTTTTGTAAATAAAATATTTTTGATAAGACTTTTGTGTGTTTTTTTTTTTTTTAAGGGAAGGGGGAATTTTGAACAAAACATTACCTGATTGTAATGGTATGGATTTAAGAATGGATTATATTGGGGGGGGGGAGGGGCAAACGAAGACTGGCCTACTCCTTATCTCTACTCTTCTACTTTCCTTTACAGCAACCCAAATTTAGGAAATGTAGGTGTTTGTTTGTTTGTTTTTTAACAGTACTTTATGCTAGCAGGAAAACAGGTTTTCAGAAATTTGTTATAGCATTAAAATAATAAAATATTTTGAGAGCAATAATTGAATTATGGTATTTCCAAATAATGGAACAATATTACCCATTAAGCACAGTGTTCTTAGAATATGAGGATATTAGATAAATGATACATTAAAAATATATAGGCAATTTATACAATAACATTCCAATTTTGTAAAAACAAATGTTTAAATGTGGTTATCTCTACTATTGAGAATATGATCGCTTTATATTCTATATACTATTGTATTTTCCAAATACCCTAATCATGTATTGCTTTTCTAATCAGAAAAAGGACAATAAATATTGCTCCTTTAAAAAACAAAGTGGATTGGGACATCTAGTAACATTTTCTGGTTTGAGGCATTTTGGTGGTAATTTTTCCATTTTACCACCTATTCCTCAAATTTGTCTTTTTCCCCCCAATTTTTATTATCAGTTCCTAAGAATCCTTCATTACCTTGTCACAATCACATTAAAACTATAGCCACTGAATAGTATTGTATGACTTTTCAACTCTGCTATTGTAGCACAAAAGCTTCCATAGGCAGTATGTAAACAAATGTGTGCTGTATTCCAATAACACTTTATGGACACTGAAATTTGAATTTCATTTAATTTCCACATTGCAAAATATTCTTTTAACATTTTCCAATCATTACGAAAATTAAAACTTAGTTTATTTGCATTAATAATATGGGCGGTGGGTCAGATTTGGCCTGTCGGCCATATTTGAATGACCCTGTTCTTTAGGAATCTGTTGACTTATTTGTGCTATTGCACACCAACACCTAATATTTGAGCACATACCATGTGTCAGGTACTGCCAGAAGCACATTGTATAGACTATTTAATTCTCATGTCAGTACCAAGGGGACGGGTGAGGAGTCCCTTATTTATTACCATTCTACAGGTGAGGACTCTGAGACTTAGAGATTTGGTACCTTGGTATCATAAAGCTAGCAAAGTCTGGTGCTAGAATTGAAGTCTAGACGTTATGATGTCAGACTTACCCTTTGCATTAGTGCTACTCAGTATGTCATCCACTGTCCAGCAGTATCAGCATTACCTGGGGATTTCTTAGAAACAAATTCATGGCCTCAGGCCCACTGAATTAAAATCTCAGGCTGGGACCAGGAATTAGTGCTTAATAAGATCCCTAGATGACTTTTACTCCTAGTAAAGTTTGAGAACCATTGTTCTAATCTAGCATCTCGGATTGTTCCCCTCAAACGAAGTATAATTTCTATGGTCGTTATTAGTGAACAATTCAAATATTTGTATTTTCCTCTGGAACTTTTCTTTTAATATTACATATGAATGTTAGCAGATACCTGGTTTTAATTAAGTTTACTGAATACCTGTTAATGAGCAAGAAATCAAGGGGTGTGGATTTTCTCTATACTCATAGAATTTGTAATTAAGAGGGATAAGATAATTACACAAACATTTGATGCAAAACAGAATAATAGGGGTCTATAGGTGGACATACGGATATAAAAAGAAGGAATGGAATGCACAATTAGCTCTGCAAAAGGCTTCAAGATAGTGTAGTGTCCAGGTGATACTTTAAGGATGTGTAACTTAGGAACAAAGAGGTGTGATTTTGATATGTAATCCTTTGAACAGACCTAACAAATTTAACTAAGGTGTGTGCTGTATCTAACCAACAGTTTAGACTTAGCTGTAGAATACACACTTGAAGCTGGGTCATAGACCATAACCCAATTGGGAGAAATGCCCCAATGAGGTGTTTAAGTTGGACAGATCACAGATATTTTTGAAGAGGGTGCTAACATGGTTATAAAACAAACTACTTTATGGTGGTTTGGATTTGAAAATCTCATGTAAACAGTTATATTTGGAAATAAGATTTGGTTCAAGTCTAATCATAAACTGGTACTGTGTTCTTCCGATAGGATCACTTTCATCACATTCCCTCCAAGTCCACCTCCTGTTTCACATCCTCAGTTACTGGAAGGCACCCGACACTGCCTTCAGCTTCTTTTACTTCCCTCTAACCGCTAGTCCCTACAAGGTTGTGATTCCTTCTTTGCCATGTCACTCAAATTCATCTCTCGCCCTTGTTAAGATGTTCTATTTTTCTTACTTGAATTGTTAAAAACACCTAACAGCCCCTTGTTATCCCATTCCTCTCTCACTCAATGGATTTCCTACATTTCTGTCAAAATGATCCTTCTAAGATTTAACTCTTAGGGCCTGCCTTATCCTTTATTTCTCCTTCTGCAGATTCAACAAACTGTGGAATCAAAAAATTTAAGCCCTGGCCAGTTGCTCAGTGGTTAGAGCATCGGCCAAGAGACTGAAGGGTTTCTGGTTTGATTCCCGTGGGAGGTTTCAATTCCCAATCAAGGGCCTGCACCTTGGTTGCAAATTCAATCCCCACTTGAGGCGCCTACTCAAGGCAACCAATCAGTGTGTCTTTCTTACATCAAAGTTGTTTTTTTCTCTGTCTGTCTCTCCCACTCCCTCCCTCCCCTCCACTCTCCCTAAAAATCAATGGAAAAATATCCTCGGGTGAGAATTAAAAATATATATATTTGAAAAAAAAATATTATGTTGTTGCTGACATGTACTATGCAGTTAAGCCTGTTATTTCTTAGGCAATTTTCAGGGGTCTTTAGGAGCTCTGTGCCAAGAGCTGGGGGCAGAGACCATCCAAAGCTGATTATCTATATCCTCTCTAGCAGACCTCCATCCTGTTATTTTTCATGGTCTTACTAAACTAGGTTTTTTTGGTCTCTCTCGCACACACATTTTGCCCTTTTCCTTTATCACTCTTCACATTTTGTTTTCAATGGGAAATGGCATTTCCCCTCTCCCCCACTTCTATACTACTTGTCAAAGTTCTTTTATGCCCTTCAATCAAAGCATAACTTTACTACTACCTCCTTCTCCCAAATACCTTCAGCCTAAATAGATCTCTCACTCCCCTTCAACTCTCAGTCTTTCATTTTATCTCAGCCATGCAGCCCAGACTTTTTCTTTTGCCCTGTGTTATGACTTATTGGTGGACAAAATGGTGTTTGAGCCTGTGGCTATGCTTTCGTGATTTTTAAAATCCTCTGTGCTGACTAGCACAGTCAGGTGCTCAAAATCTGGCAACTAAGCAAATGAATACACAAAAGAATGAGGAAGGAAAATGGACTCAAATTATGAATCTTTTTTTAAGGAAAGTTTATGGCATTTTTGGAGCTTTGCTCTAGGACAAGCCTTGGGGTGTGAGGGCTACACTTGCTTTATGCTTTGGGCAGCAGGCCCATGCCTCTGTCACCAGAAAGAGAGCAACCTTAGCACTGTCCGCCATTCATTCAATGGGTTTTGAGTGTGATTATATGCTAGACCTCACTGGGATGTGAAAAATAATAAATTAAGATTCATGAGGGGAAACAGAAAAAAAAAGTTATGCCCACTTTCAAGAAATTCTCTGAGTTTCTCTAGCAAGCCATGCTCCTACATTCATGTGGGCATTTCCAAAAGCTCTTCCCAATCCCACTTCCCACCA